GAATACTGTGTGGGCAAAGGGTAGTAAATGGACAAATGGGGCTCCTAAGAGTGAAGAGAAAGGCACGTAAGTGGGGGAGCTGGTGCACCATCTTAATGTCACCCCATTCAGTAGATTAGTTTACAAAGGAGGGAGGAGGGAAAAGTTTGAGCCTGGGATGGTATTAATGCTGAAGAGGGAATACTGATTGAGAAAAGTAACCTGGGGATCAGACTCAGCATAGGAACTGACAGGACTCTGCTGATAACTGGGTTAAAGGCAATCTCTAGGTTTAATTAACACTGACAAGTACTGACATTTCATAGGACTAGACCTCAGTGTACTTGTTTCAGTTCTGTTTTGAAAACAAAATGAAGAGATTCTCAGGTGAACAGTATAAAAGTTGTTGGAAGTAGGCTGGATGCATTGAGTAGATTTTCCACATAATTATTACTTGTGATGTGAAATTTTAAATGAGCAAAAAAGAGCTAGTGAAAATTATGAGGTCAGGAGATATCACAGGAAGTAGGATTTGCTGAGAAATTATTTAACTGTCAACATTTCAAAGTGTGAAAAATTTATCTTTGTTGTTTGACAAATTTGCTTTCTGAACAGTTATTGTGTTAGTATTCATAATATCCAAGATGTGGACTCCATCTAGTCATCCACACACAGTTTCTTAATGCCTCTAGGTCTCAGTTTCCTTTGCTTTGACAAAAACAAAGAATACTTGCATTAAGTCTTTGCAGCAGTAAAGTGCAAAGAACTATTTGGACTATGCAGATCAACATTTTTGAATGGAGAAATATGGGGAAGCAAAGTTTGAGGGTTTCTTTTACAGCCTTGGGTTGACATCCAGTGGGAAGACATAGCTCTCCATCTGAACAGCTTCCACATGTACTCACAGAGAAAACTGGGCTGTTGTATTTATCTGCGCAATGGCCTGTCCCTGCTAGGGCTGTGGAAGTGGTGACTGTGCTTAGGTAATTGAAGAGCTCCATGTAGTCACATTTCATTTTCCTTCTTACTAGATTACATGTTTATATTCGGTACAAACTGAGAAAAAGAAAAAACATCAGCTAGTTACCAAAACTCTGTCACATGTCCAACAGGACTTCCTTCCACATAGATAGTATTGAAGGAACCGGCTTCCCTTTTGGCAGCCATAACATCCCAACACAGGCATGCCATAAACCTGCCTTG